GGGGGGGGGGTTGCGGGCCGCGGTAAAAATATTTACGGGCCGGGGGAGTATACGGGCTCTGTTCTGGCCAGAAAATTAGGCCGAGCTCGTATACTCGCCAAAATTTTACGAGTTTGCAACATATACGGGGTCTGCTAGAGTTGCTCTCAGAAGGTTGAAGAAGCCAAACTTGACAAAAAAATCAATCCAAACACTTTTTTTTATGCATAGGATTTTTGTTGTCTTTTTTGCCACAGATACGTTTCCTGAAATTATTTCACAAAATTTCACACGTAAGTAGATTGAACACCCACGTTTCATGTCCCAAAACCCCAGATTTTTTTTGAAATTTTCCGGTATTTTTTTGAACATAATGTTTATATAGGGGTGTGGAGCACCCCAAGTGCTACAAATCCTCTTCCGACTATGAGCCTCTATATTCGACTCTCTTCCTTCAAAGATGAAGAAACACGAAGAAAACTCACGGGCCTTTGCAACTATCTCTCGAATTATGCTTCCATTTCTTCCAGCAAAGCTTGAGTTAATGTTTTCAAATTATGCTTCCATTTCTTCCAGGAAAGCCCGAGTTGATGTTTTGTACTACCTCCTTGCAATCTGTTGCTATTACAATGTGGTTGAGAGAAAGATCTTTAGCTAAACATGTGCACTTCCGCCGTAGGAGGAGGGTAGGGAGGTGGAGGACGAGGATAGGGAGGCGCAGGACGAGTGATAACTAGTTGTTCGTCAGGATCCGCAGGTTGGGGACGTTCCCTCACAAGTGGAGACTGGCATGGACCATGAGGTGGAGGCGGCCGAGGGGGAAGGGGGGAGGGGGGTCCACCTGTCACCACTACGGCGAAAAAAGTGGACAGTGGTATCTCCAATCCAACAGGGTTCAAGTCCTGCTGCTCGCATTATTCCTGAATTTATTTCAGGATTTTCGACAATGCACTTTCAGTGGGAGGAGACGTTCCCGTTGACAACGAGGCGTCTACGGTGAATTCGTAAATCTCAAGATGATATCTTGACTCAATCCCTCGAAGGTGCTCATAGGGGTAGGATGTGCATGTCATTCATAGGGCTGAGTGTGTGTGTAGGAGCGCTTGCGTCTGTATTTGTGTTAAAAAAATGATGACAAAAGTGTGTTGTGTGGGCCTTCCCCGGGCATGTTGTTAGCTTGACTCTTACAAATTACTTGATTCCGCAGCTAGAATATTTCATCACATACATAATGACTTGTCTTTCCATTGTACACGAGCTTCACACATGTTGTAGACATCCTTCCGCCACCACTGTCACTACTAGAAAAAGGACCTAATGTGAGACACATTAGTCTCGGTTCAGTTTTGGCCCGGTACTAATGATATGATTAGTCCCGGTTCGAACGGCTATGCATTAATGCCGGTTCGTGTTGAACCTTTAGTATCGGTTCGTGCCACGAACCGGTACTAAAGGGGTGGTGGCAGGCTGGCGTCAGGCCGGGGCCTCACGAGCCCCTTTAGTCCCGGTTCGTGGCACAAACCGGTACTACAGGGCTAACCTTTAGTATCGGTTTGTGCCACAAACCGGGACTAAAGGTCCCGGTTGGAGACACAAACCGGGACTAAAGGCCCCATTTTCAAACTCTACCCCCCTCCCCCCAATCGCCTTTTCAGTTTTGTAAAAAGCAAAAGAAAATGATAAAAACTTTAAAAATTAAAATCCTTCGAGATGTAGTTATGTTACTACATCTACTAGTTAGGAAAATTAAAAAACTTACATTTGGACATGTTTTGCAAAAAAGTGTTATGAAAATGTAAAACGGCCATATCTTTTGCATACGATGTCGAAAAACGCATAATATATCAAAAAAAATCAGCATGAAAATCCGCAGCCGATTTTGACAGCCTATGGCTTGTTTGCAATTTTTTAGAATCCTCAAATTCTAAAAGAAAAAAAAAGATATGCTCAAATTTAAGTTTTTTGAGTTTTGGTCGAACTGTGGTCAAACTATTTATTCAACAAATATTAGTGTTACTAAATAATTATTCAAGAATATTAGTGTTACTAAATAATTATTTTAATTTTTTGAATTTTGGTCAAATCTAGTCAAACTATGGTCAAACTACTTATTCAAGAGATATTAGTGTTCATAAATAATTACTGTTTTTTAGAATAATAGTTTCAAACTCAAACGGTGAAACATGTGACCTAATGCTCAAGCTAAACTCATGGGGGTTAATACGATTGACAGCTTACATTTGTCAGGGAAACAATAAGTGCAGACTTGGAAAGTAGGGGGAATAGAACTCCGAAGTTAAGCGTGCTCAGGCTGGGATAGTGAGAGGATGAGTGACCGGCCGGAAAGTTAGACGATTTGGAATGAGTGATCCACATTTGAGCAGTTAAGAGGGGTGATTAGAGACTAAATCATCAAATAATTCAGAAAATTGAAAAAAAATATTTTTTTCAAAAAAAATATAGAAAAAATCAGAAAAAACCTTTTAGTACCGGTTGGTGTTATCAACCGGTACTAAAGGTCCCCCATACCACAGTGCAAGCTCACGTCACGTGGTGGACCTTTAGTGGCAGTTCATGCCGAACCGGTACTAAGGGAGGGGGGGGGGGCTTTAGTCTCCACCCTTTAGTGCCGGTTGAAGAACCGGCACTAAAGGTCCTTACGAACCCTCGCTAAAGCCAGGTTCTGCACTAGTTTGTCGAGCATCATCATTGGCCTTCTATGTAAGTTACATAACATTGGCCTGGTCACTTTTTCGAACAATACCACAGAAACAGCCTAGTCATGGGAGCACTATAGACACGCAAAGGATTCCTTGGATAGAAGAAAGAGGGTGTACGAATAACATCCGCCATGCGGATGGTCAATGATTTCTGGATAAGTTCCATTGGGACACCACAAGGTCAATAACAAAAGCTCAAAAAAATTGTACTCATGACACCCTCTGCACATGTATGCATGATTATAGGATTTCTTTACTTGTGCCGAGGATGAGGAAAATCATGTAAATTCGGTTGTAGAAATATTGCCAAGAATCTTTTCCATGACATGCATTGTGAGAGTCGCATCTGATGTGTGGTCAAGTATCACTCAAAAGAACTCAAGATAAAGTTTGAAAAAATGAAGCCTGACAGAAGCATCTTACGCGTCAAGAGTACTTGAAGGCCACAACAGGATCTCCAACCAGGTTATTTCACAATGCATTTTATATGACACATAACTCTAATTTTATATGATTTTGCTGCTTGCCGGCGTGTTTTGTGTGTGTGCCCGCACGCATTGGTGATGCATGTGTGCATCCTAACTATGAAGAGGCCGGTGTTGTCTCATTGTACTTGTGACGTCTTCAGGGCCGTACTTAGAAAATCAGAGGCCCTGTGCGAATCAAAATTTAGGCCCCAACGTTTGAAAGAGCAGATTAAAATGTGCAGTCTGTTCTCACAGATGCACAAGTTCTAAAAAGAACAACAAACTAGGAGTAAGAACTGCCACCACCTTAACAGGACTTTGTAGTTTTAGATCATGCGAGACTGCAAATGAAGTTCTGATGATTCATTTGTAGGTCAGCGACAAAGCAGTGCAAGTGGCGACTCCAATCTCCACAAGGTTCTAAATGATGCACAAGAGCACATAAGAATTGAGAACAAAACTCCCCAATATAGAGAAGATTGGAGTCCATGACCACACCAGTTTGTTGCCACTAATGCCTTTCTTTTGGGGAAATCGTGAAGCATTTGTCCCAAGAAGAATCAGAAAAGAATCAAGATGGGGAGAAAATGATGGGTCCATTAGTTAATTTGGGACCTGTGAAATTGATTTTTTTTTTGGAATAGCAGCAATGCATTGAGAGAGGAAACTGGGAGTAGTAGGATGCCTTGGGGTGCGATATTTCATGATTCTTTGCTTAATGCTCTGTTTAACACCTTTATTACCTGCAGCCGGGGGGCCCTTCAATTTTTGGGGCCCTGTTCAATTGCTCCAGTTGCACGTGCTGACATACGGCCCTGGTCGTCTTGATGCTCCATTAGAAACCAGTTAAATTCATCATTTATTGAAAAGAGTATATATTCCACTAACTTTATTTTTCAAGAAATAAGAAACCCTTTTTTATATGGAAATGAAACAAATTGATCTTTAACTAGCAAATAGTGTGCACATAATATAGCTTTTCTTGAGCACCGAAATCATTCATAGTAGACCAGCTACAACAATAATAGACTATATGTGCATTTATATTAATACAAATTTCTTAGTGTTATGTACATTTTCTTGTACCAAAAAATTTCAGTGAAGAATGGTACACACATTATGATGTTTCCCGGGCATTTGCACGGGCCCGCTTTGCTGCTTAGTTTAACAGCGAGAGGCATCATTAGTTTGGCACTTACAGGAGCCATGACTCGGTACGCACTGACGGTTAACAATTGTTGTTATGCAAAGCATCCGGACGGAGAGAAAACCAATGCAGCACGCCGGTCTTAGCAGCCACAGCCACCAACCCTCCCCATTTCGTTGCTGCTGCTTCCACCGGGATCTGCTCATGAAGGCGGTGGAAGACACCAATCTGGAGGCCGCGATTGGGTGGCTTACAGATACCATCCTTGCAAATCTCCCAGCCGGCGGCAAGCTGGAGTCATGGATTCGCCAAGCTGGCCTCGGCAACGACATCGGGAAGCTCAAGTCCGAGGTCGAGGCGGTGGAGATGGTGGTCTCTGCTGTGCAGGGGAGGGCGGCCGGTAACAAGCCGCTGTCCCGATCTGTCGCGGCCGTCAAGGAGCTGCTCTACGACGCCGACGATGTGGTCGACGAGCTCAACTGCTACAGGCTGCAGCAGGAGCTCGAGCCAGGTAATTTTGGTATTTGTTGAATTGCTTGCTAATTGGCAGTTCCCTTTTTTTCTTTTTATTTACGTCAGGCACGACTATGCTGAATATGTGGTCCACTTTCTCTTCTGCCTGCCTTAGAGACGCTGCTCCTAACGGATGGACATGGTGGAACGCAACAAACTTTTGAGAATTCTAGAGAAAATACTGATGATGTACAGGGTAGCAGTAATGGCAGGTTACGGTCCGAGGTATGGGATCAATTTGAAATCACAGCGTTTCTTGAACAAAACGGAGGACCTTCGCCTTCCAGAGCAAGATGCAAGCGCTGTCAAACAGAGCTTATGTGCGAAACCAAGAATGGGACATCAGTTTTGCGCAAACATCTCAACACCAAAGGTTGTCAAAACAAACGTGGAGCAACTGACCCTTCTTCTAGGTACCTAGATTATTTATTTTTCTGCATCACACCGACACACTTTTGCGAGCCTTTTCTAATACGCATGTGGTTAAAGAGTATATTAATGTTCTCACTGCTAATCCATGATCTATTTCTCATTGCAGCACTGCTGTTGCAGCTAGTAATTTGTCTGGCAGAAAAAGGATGAGAACCGACCAGGAGTCAACACACATCACCGCAGCTAACCCAAACGGTTGGAATAAGGATGCATTTCCCGAAAGGATACAAGACATCACTAGTCAGCTGCAAGTCAAACGAGAGGCTGTCACAAAGCTTCTCATGATACTTGGGTCAGACTATGGTGGTGCAAGTTCTAATCACTGTCATATTACAATCTCAGATGCACGCCGAAGAACATCAGGTCTTGTTCAAGGGAAAGTCTATGGGAGAGCTGCATAGAAGAGATCCATCAAAAAGCTGATAGAAAAATACAAATCAACTCAAGGTGTAACTGTTCTGCCTATTGTAGGCATAGGAGGAGTTGGGAAGACAGCTTTCGCTCAGCTTGTATACAATGATCCAGCTTTGGAAAGTCAGTTTGACCACAAGATATGGATTTGGGTGTCTAACAACTTTGATGAAATGAGACTCACAAAAGAGATGTTAGATTACGTCTCACACGAAACACATGATGGCCTATGCAGCTTTCCCAAGCTTCAGGAGGTCTTAAAGGGTCATTTCAAATCAAAGCGGGTCCTACTTATTTTAGATGATGTATGGGAAGCCATGGATGACGGCCGATGGAACAAATTGTTGGCTCCTTTCAATTCTAATGGTGCCGCCGGCAATATGATAATTCTGACAACTAGAAAACCGTCTATTGCCAAAAGGAGAGGTACAACTGGACCAATTAACTTACATAGTTTGAACAATGATGATTTCTGGCTGTTGTTTAAAGCATGTGCATTTGGTGATGAGAATTACAAAGAGCAAGCAAGTCTAAGTGACTTAGGACATGAAATAGCCAAAAAGTTAAAAGGGAACCCATTAGCAGCACAAACCACTGGGGCACTATTAAAAGATCATCTTACCGTGGATCACTGGAGTAACATTCTGAAGACCGAAGGTTGGAAATCCTTGCGACACACTGGTGGCATCATGTCTTCTTTGAAGCTTTCCTATGATGAGTTGCCCTACCTTGTGCAACAATGTTGCTCATATTGTTCCATATTCCCCTATGGTTATGAATTTCATGCCGAGGAGCTAGTTCATCTTTGGATTTCACAGGGGTTTGTGAAGAGTGATCATTCAAGTAATAGTTTGGAGGAGATGGGACGGTACTATCTGATTTACTTGGTGAACCTAGGCTTGTTTGAGGAGGTTGAAAGTCGAACTTGCTATGTTATCTGTAGCCTGATGTATGATTTTGCAAGGCTAGTTTCAAGAACAGAGTGTGCATCCTTGGATGGTTTGCAGTGCAGTGGAATTTTGCCAACTGTACACCATTTGTCTATAGTAACCAATTCTATATATCAGAGAGATCACCAGACTGGAAACATACCTCGTAATGAGAGGTTTGAATTTCGCTTGCAAAATATAGTTGCATCAGTGAGAAAACTGAGAACATTGGTCTTAATTGGGGAATATGACTCATTTTTCTTCAAAGCATTCCAAGATGTATTTGAAAAAGCACATAATCTGCGTTTGGTACAAATGTCTGCAACATCTCCTGGTTTTAATTCCTTTCTGTGTAGCTTGGCAAATCCCACACATCTTCGATATCTAAAAATTCAGGATGGCCATACTGAGCAGAAGGCTTCGCCCCACATTTTGAGCAAGATTTTTCATCTTCAAGTATTGGATGTTGCTTTCTTTAAGCCATTGCATACGGTTCTTCTAGAGGATTGCGGAGAATTGAGAATATCTTTGGAAATGCTTCAGTTTCTTAAAAGGTTGAAGTTGAGCAACATGCAAAGAGTAAGCGGAGTATCGGTTCCGTCATTGGACGAGCTGGTTTTAGATGGCATGCCAGATTTACAGACATGTTCTTGCACTTCCGTGGGGGATATGAAGTCTAGTTTAAGGGTGCTGGAGATCCGGAGATGTCCTTTACTTGAGGTGTTCGATCTGTTTCAGAAAGGTGGTAACTACGAAATTGAGCATAAGTCGTGGTTGCCCAGTCTGAGGAAACTCATTGTGTGCGATTGTCCTCGTCTGCAAGTACATACCGCCCTTCCGCCTTCAGCAACATTTTCTGAACTATCAATTAGTGAGGTTTCAACAATTATGGCAATGGAGGGATCTTCCATAGAAAAATTAAAAATTAGCGGAGATAAACTTTTGTGTGATACACTCGATGACAAAATTTTGGCATTCCATAATCTTAATGATATCAAATACTTGGAGATATTGAATTGCAAAAGCCTAACATCCATTTCATTCAAAGGCTTAAGTCAGCTCATCTCCTTAAAGAGTTTTAAAATAGTGCATTGCAAAGAATTTTTCTCTTTGGATGATGTGCTAGAGCAGACCCATGACAACATGATAATTGCAAATGAAGATATTCTCCCGGCTCTTGAAAGTCTTGATATTATCAGATGTGGAATAACGGGGAAGTGGCTATCTTTGATGCTGCGACATTCGCCGACCCTGAAGGAATTGTATTTATATGAGTGCCCGCAGTTGAAACAGTTGAAGATAGAAGAGGAAGGAAATGTTCAACCAAACCTTCTCCCAGCTTTCGAGGCTTCGTCATCCGGATATGCTGATGGAGTTGTGCACATTCCATTGAATCTCAGAAAGATAAAAATTGGTAGATGCCCTCATATAATATTTGACGGGAGTAGGGAAGGCTTTGCTGGATTTACCTCCTCCTCACAGGTCGAGAACGGAAGATGTCTCCTCCCGCAATCACTTGAACATCTTGATTGGTCTGATTATTCCCGAGAAACTCTACTGCCCTCTTTTGTGGGTAATCTCATGTGGCTCAAAAAATTAAATGTAAGGAATGGAAGAAGTTTGCAATATCTAAAACTTGATTCCTGTAAGGCGTTGGAAGAATTGGAAATTCGCGATTGCAATCAGCTCTTCACATTAGAGGGCATGCGATCGCTTGGAATCCTCGTGTCTTTGAAATTATCTTATAACTCAAGATTGAAATCTCTGCAGCTGCATTCCTGTACGTCGCTGGAACATTTGGAAATTTGGTTCTGCAGTTCGCTCGTCACACTAGAGAGCTTGCGATCCCTCGTGAACCTCAAGCATTTGGAAATACTTGATTCCCCTGCCTTGGATTCCCTTACCGCACTGGAGAGTACTGAGCCAACTGGGGGGATTTCAAGTCATAGCCATGAGTTATTCTTCCCTGCACTGGAAAGTCTCGCGATCGATGACTTGTCTCCCCTTAACATGTCATTCTGCAAGGGCCTCACCTACCGAGAACGTATCCTGTGCACCGAACGATCTAGTGCACCAGATGCTCCAGTAGCTCCTGGGCCACTAGATGCGGAAGGAAGGGACGAGAACGTATCCTGTGCACCGAACGATCTGGTGCACCAGATGCTCCAGTAGCTCCTGGGCCACTAGATGCGGAAGGAAGGGACCTGATCCATCTACGAGGAAGCCTGCTGGCACATTTACAAAACGGACCCTGAGGTGCAGTTAAATCTAGCGAATCGACTCCCCCGACCCAGTTCGTCTCTCTCCCGTCGCCTTTTCCTGTACCACCGGACCAGGCTGAGATAGGGTTACAGAAAATGGGGAATCTGCTATCTCTCTCTCTCTCTTTATATATATATATATATATATATATATATATATATATACAAATCATGTGGTCCACCGGCGGCTCGATGCCATCAACTGTGTCTGCATAGCGGCGCTGCACCTCCGGAGATATCAACACTACGGTTGAATAGGATCTGGCCATCATCCTTTACATCAGGTGATCCGAGGTATGAGCATGAATTTGATTCTTCTATTTTCCATGTGCATCCATACTTAGTACTTCCGCTCATCAGTTTCCCCAATTTGTCTGAAATCAGTGGCATTTGGTAATATGAATGCCTGGAAGGGGAATTGCTAAACCTAGGTTCACATATATTTCTGGATTTGGTTTCTCTTATTGTTACTGTCGTTTGTAGCCGGCCTGCTATATGTCATCCTCATGTGACAATTTTTCAACTCTGCAAAGCACCATTCAATCTTTTTCCTCTGTGTTCTATTGCTCTGTACTTTAGCATAATCATCTAAAATTTCAAGGTAAGTGAGAACATGCTCATCCATAATATATATTTTTCGCAGCAGCATCAAAAATTCTTGCTCTGTACTATAGCAAGTTCATAAAAAATTCTTGCACCATAATTTAGCAAGTGAGAAAATCTGCAGCAGTTCAAGAATCTTGCGCATATTTGCTTCTTCCTTTAGCCATGTGTCAAGTTCATATTCTATTCTTATAATTCATCACCACTCTCTCCCTAATTCATTGAATTAATGGCTGGGAGATATTGTGACTATTGTTGTTCCAGTTGACATAAATGCATTATTCTGTTGATTGAAACTAGGAATGGTGTGACTGTTTGAGGATGCATGAGCTACAAGTTTACCCTTATAATCTTATCCTCTTTCACAACAGTCTGAATAAAAAAAACAAATGATGCGCTCTCTGTTCTGTTTCTTGGTTTTTACAAATTTAAATAGGAAGTGCACTTACGATGTCCAATTTGAAATTTGTAAAAGCAGTACTACTTGTTTCTGATCCTGATTTTATTTTGCTGCAATCCTTCAAAAAGTAACACTTTTGATATGTGCTGCTTGTTAGTAGGGCAGTCATCTTACTTGTTCCCTGCAGCTCTTGAATGACTATGTATTGTGTGATAAGGACCACAAAAAGCTTCTTTTAGTCATGAATCCACAAGGATTTTAGGAGTACGAAGTAAGAATCAAATACTACTGAAAGTTTCAACAATACAGAGATTAATCTTGTCCAACATATCGTTTTGTTTATATTTTTGTATGTACATCTGAACCTGAGGTTTATATATTTCGGGTCCTCTTTGAATGTTCAGCTACATGTTCATCTCTAGAAAAAAAATTGCTTGTTGTCCAAGCTAGTGTTCGAGTTGATTTTTTTTCTCCTTTTGCAGGTTGTTGGCTCAAGCAGTTGAACACCACCGAGGAAAAAGAAAGAATCCGTTGCCTGCTTGTCTGTCTAATGCACTTGTTCTGTTCCAGCCTTTTCAATATGACCATTCTAAATTTTTTGCTGGTCTCTGAAAGAATCCGAATGCATATTCTCGCGCTCGGGAACCTCCTGTACAGCAGGTTCCAGTGGCCCTAAACATAAAACTGGAGAGGTTGTAATCTGGAACCCGTGAGTTACGAAACTGTATAAGTAAATTATTCTGCAGTGATGCTGTATTTTTAAGAACGGATGCAGATCTGGTTGGGCGCTTCCAATTTTTTGGGGCCGGCCGTGTTGTCCGGGGGCTGATACCACAACATAACAAAATGCTTGGTTTTGGGAAACTTTTTTTCCAGATTTTTGTGTTAACGGGTGTACTGTGTGCATTAAAAGAAATGCATGATTCTAACACTGTTTGTCCTGCAAATTTAACTCTCTGTTCATGGATGATCTACACTCGATTTTCTGAGAATTTGTTGAAAATGATTCTGAGCACCTTCAAATGTTTGGTGTCTAATAGAATGTCTGGGGTGTACAATACAATCACAACAGATGGATTTTTGTAGCTCTGTTTGTGCAGCAATTTTAACAGTCGACACTGAAGGTATTAATCCTTGAATTTTTTTTCAGGAATTGTTTCAGTCCGCACTAAAGGTTCTCAGTGAAATCATAGTCAGTCCACTCAGGGCGCTATTCTTTATAACTGGTGCTGTTTTCAGAGCCCGCTGCTGTTTTCATGGTGTGCAACAAACAGACAACAAACAGAGGATGCATCTTTCCAGCTCTGTTTGTGGTGATTTTTTTTTTGAGAAACTCGAGTAAAAGAATTACTCAAGTGGGGGAATACATTCAGAATGCATCAACTGTCGTAACCTGTCAGGGACATCCGCGATGATCATTGTCTCCTCTTTGTCGGGCCTCGGCAGCAAGTTGCATAATCTAGCTGTATTGTATGGGACACCTTGTGGGTTGCAAGAACAGGTAAAGCTGCCTTAATGTCTTGTACCAGACCGTAGCATTGGGATCTGTTTGGGGCATTTTCATCCAAATCACCAGCAATTCTTTTGCAGTCGATCTCCAACCCAACAGGGCCACTGTACACTGTCGCCAACGAATGCAGGTTCTTGCCGGTGTCTGACTGCAAGTTCAGATTACCACATTTCCACTCCTCCTCATACCTTGTCAGAAAAATCACTGCGTTTCTGATTGGTTCCCTGCCACTTCCATGACTGAAGTGAACCGGAAGTCCTTTTCAGGTGGAAGATTCCACACTTCTCATAGCATATCTTAAGGTTCTACTTTCTGTGCATCAAATCATTTTTTTCCCGCAAAAAAAAAATGACTGCGTGGAATTCATCCTCCTCTCCATTACCACAAATATTACAGCTGGTAGCGTCATGGACAATAGTTCGTCCGTACTTATTCTTTTTGGTAGCAAGAGAATTCGTAGCAACTCTCCACCCAAAGATTCTGACCTTAGGCGGGACATCAACTCTCCAAATGAGGTCCCGAATACTCCGGTCTGTTGCGCCTCTCGAATAACTTGACGGTTCAAGCCGGGTTCGATTTCGGACGGACGCAGCGACCTTGCAAGCACTCCAGACTAGCTCGGCCCAAAAACAGCTTCACTTTTTACACAAATATATCTATGTATACAACTTTTTAAATACATATTTTATTTTCTTAATATGTATTTAGAAAGAAATACTCATGTTTTAAAAATATTCGAATATTTCAGGATTAAGTGTTCATTTTTATAAAACACATTTCATACAGTTGAATTGTTTTAGGTACTTTGGAAAAATGATCATGTATTAAAAATTATTCATGCTGTAAAAAATGTTCTGATCTTAGCTACTTATTAAAAAAAACTTTCATGTGATTTAAAAAATGTTGATGTGTTATGGAAAGAGATCGTGTATTTTGGAAAGATTTTTGCTATGTGTACAACACATTGTATCCGATATATATATGATATTGCAATGCCAGCCGTTTATGGTAATCACTAGTTCACTACAGGGTTTAGATTTATGTCGTATCTATATCGGGATCTTTTTTATCATATGCAAAGTAATTCCGTTTTGGAAAAAAAATCCATGTACTAGGAAAAATAAAACATGAAAAAGGCAGATAAACTGGCGGGAAAAAGGGCAAAAATAGTGCGAGAGAACAAAGGAAAGAAGGGAGAAATAGGCCAGCCCATGTCGCGGGGGTGTACGTTATATTGTTGCAAAATGTTGCACTAGGGAACAAAGGATTTCCCAACTTTTCCTCTTCACCGCTCAACCAAAATAATTTCCAAAAATAGGGGAATAATTTTATAATATTTATGCGGACATGCTTGAGCTCACCCGGCTCATAACTGGGCACGCGTAGATCGCCTTCGTGGCTGTCTGATCAGTTTTTGATCGTGCAGCACACAACAATCCTACCCCATGCACTAGTTTGAAACACGCCCCGCCCCCCCTCTTGTGGCAAGACGCACGGTAGCAACAAGGGGTCTGTTGTAGACTGACAAATCGGTCGGGTCTTCTTCCTCCAGCCTCCTCCCAATTCCATCTCCCCTCCACACCCGATCGGTCGCCGCCGGCCCTTGCGCATGCGCCATGCAACACACCCTTTTTTTAGGAAAAGACGATACATAGCGAAAGTGCCATTCTGCTTGCAAGTTCAAATGCTCCACATGAACAGTAAAAAAATCTGTAACTTTTTTTACAACAAACATTGACGAATTTTCTATATATTTGCCAAATGATTGCTCCAAAATGCTTTAAAAACATTCCTAAATTGGCGAAAGTTAATCCTATATCTTCTCTTGTGGTAGATGAACAGTGTAAATCCTATGTGAGGGGAGTCTTGATGTATGCTGATTTAGGTCTATGGGAGCGATGACCGTGATAGTCTGCCGCGGAGAACAGACTTCATCATGGAGCAGCTGCTCTTGCCGGCCATGGGCCATCCATGCTAATTATGTGGGCCATAAATCAAATATTCATTTTTCTTTAAGTCATGTTTATTGTGTTATAGGAAAGTGCCACAAATTATCACCTTTACAACGCACATGCATATGTACTAGGAGTAGTAAAAATACTCATATCTTAAAAATATTCGAGTATTTCAGGATTAAAGTGTTCATTTTTACAAAATAAAATCCACATGCTTGAAAATATGTAGGTATTTTTTTTTAAAATGCTCATGTATTAAAAAATATTCATGCTTTCAAAAAAATAATCTTATGTTAGTATTGTA